CACAGGCTCTCGGCCCCACAGCCGCCAGCGCCTGATGCTTTAGTTATTGGCTCCCACGTGGCAGCTGCCTCACTGCTGTCACCGCCCAACCCCCCCCCCCCCCGGGCCCCGGGAAAGTTCTTCCCAGGCCGTTCACGGCACTGAGGACAAAGTTCAGTCTCACTCTGGTAGACGGAGCCGGTGTGTGCCCACCAGCTCGTCTGCCATGTCCTCCCGCTTCCCAGGCTGGGCCGGGCCCCGCGCCAGCACCTTCCCTCCCAGGGCCTGACTCCCTGGCTCGGCCCGTGTGGTGAACAGGAGCCCGACGACCCATCTGCCACCCGTCATGCCGCCACCTCACGGTCCCCTCATTCGCCTTCCATCACACCCGCCACAATGCTCCGTGGGTTTTAACAAGGCTGTGGGCCGCACGAGGGCACGGATGCCAGCCTTCCGGGGGGGTACAGATGAGCCTTTCCGGGGTCTCATCCCTGCCCAGGCACCATCCCCTTCCCCTGCGAGGTGAGGTGACCGCAGCCCCGAGCGCCGGCCCGGCCCAGTCCCACAGGCGCGGACCTTTCCCTGGGAGACTAGTGGAGGTGGGGACGGGCTGGCCCCGCGAAGGGGCCCCATGAAGAGAGCTGCTGGCGGCCCAGAACGGGCCGTGGCTCGGGCACCACTGCGGGGGGTCAGGCCCCTGGCCCGGCCGGCCTCACCTCCTCCTCGGGGGCTGGTCCAGCCGCACGTCCCAGCAGCAGCAGCCGCCCTCGCAGCCTGCCAGCAGGTAGGCATCCGGGCAGGAAGCCACAGGGCAGAGGCGCAGGGGGATGGACGTGGTATCCAGGGTGAGCAGCTGGCTGCCGGTGGGGGAGGAGCGCGTGAGGCCACCGACCCGGCTGTCCGCCCGCTCTAGCGAGCCCCCCCCGGCCCACAGCCTCACCTGGCCTGGAAGTCGTAATCGTGGTTGGGCACCCCGAGGTCCCACAGGATGATCCGCTTGTCATAGGAGGCCGCTGAGGAGCGGACGGGAAGGGAAGAGGTGGCTCTGAAGAGGCCCTACTTGCCCCAGCAGGCTCCATCCCAGGCTGAGACCGTGGTCGCAAGGCCTGGCCCCTGGGAGGCGGGCAGGGCCGCAGCTGGGAGACAAGACTCAGGGCCGCCAGTCTCTACCTCCCTCTGCGCTACCACGCCCTGCGCCAGGCGGCCCTCCTTTCGCAGGCCTCTGCTCACACATCCCTTCTCGGGCTCACCACACTTCGGTGGGGGGGGGGGGGGGGGGGCAGGGGTACCCAACCGGGTCACAGAGCGGCCCAGCTGCCCAGCTTCAAAGCCACAGAGCGGGTCAGGGGGAAAAGGCACGATCTGAAGCCCTGTCAGTCGTTCACAAAGCCACGCTGCTTCTACCCCGGCCAGAGCAGACCCCGGCGGCCCGGACTGCAGGACAGGGGTGTGGGAGAGGCTCTTACTGAACAGGTGGGTCTCGTGGGTGGGGCTGAAGCAGAGGGTGGCAATGGCCTTCTTGTGGGCCCGGATGACCCCGCAGCAGAAGCCAGCTCGCACGTGCAGCAGGCGGACCAGGCCCCGTAGGCCTGCAGCCGCCAGCACGCTCCAGCGCTTCTTGTGGCCGGCCTGCGTCACCACGGTCAGGGCTGTCCAGGCCACCGAGAAGAACTCCTGTGGGCGCGGGGGTACGGGCGTCACTAAGGAGCAGAGCCATGCGTGGGTGCGGGCATCACTAAGGGGCAGGGCTACACGTGCGCACGCCCTGAAGCTCAAGCTGGTGGAAGTGAGGCCCAGCAGGACCGGGTCAGCCCCTCCCCCGCCCCCCGCCAGCGCCGCAGGAGCAGGCCCCGGGCCCTCACCTCGCCAGGTGCCTTGTACTTGTGCAGCACGATGCCCGTCTGGCAGTCTATCACGCACACGGCCTCCCCACCACACGTGGCCACTGTCTGGGAGGTGGCCCCCGCGCGCCCTGTTTGGAGGGGTCAGCCTCAGTAAACACGTTCTCCATGAAGTCCGCCCCTGCAGCGCCTCTGTCCTGGCCCTGATGACGCTTCAGAGGCTGTCTCTCCCAGGCCCCCCATCCGCGGAGGCGGCCCCCTCCAGGTAGCATTCCCTGGGGCTCTCGCCCTGGCCCTGCCTGCCCCACCAAGGCTGTACCCTCCTCCCAGGCCGGCTCAAAAGCGCAGGCCCAGAGCTGGGTGTCCAGGTCCCGAGGGCTGTTGTTCTTGCTGTGACACTGCAGGAAATGCAGGGGCTCCAGGTCTAGGGCGGGCTGTGGGGGCAGACGGGGGGGGGGGGTCACAGCTGCCCCAGCCCGTGCTCCCTGCCAGCTAACCCCTGCCCCCTTGTGAGCTTACCTGGCCGCCATCAGAGTCCTGGGGGCTGCCCTCCACGTGGGCCAACGAGGAGGTGCACACCCGCTTGTTGGGAGACAGGTTGAGTGAGATGTCATCTGGCCGTTTCTTGGCCACGGGCCTGGCCTGTGGAGGGGGTCGGGGCTGGGCTGAGGGTCCGGGGCTTGCTTCCTCGGCATCACAGGCTGGCCCGCACCCTCCCATGGGGGCAGAAAGCAAGGGTTGGCCCAGGGTCAGCGGGAACCAGCTCAGGCATCAGGGGCCGTCTCCTGGGCTCATTTCCAGGACCCCCCGACACCCCCCCCCAATCCCCTTTCTCTACAGTCTCCCGAGGCAGGAAGGGCCAAGACAGGCCTTTGGAGCCTTGCGAGCTGCATGGTACCACACTCACCCTGGGTTCCTGGGCAGCTGCGGCTTTTGGAGGCCTCTCCGGGACGTCTGCCTCATGCACCTGGGGCCCACCAGAGGCCACCAGCTCCTCAGAGATCATCCGCACCTACGCGGGGCCAGGACATTGGGGAACCAGACACAAGTCCTAGGGCTCCCAGCCCCTCCCCCAAATGCCGGGGCAGAGGGAACCTGTGCTTCCTGAGGTGGGAAAGAGCCTTTCCAACCAATAAGTCTGCCTTCCCTGACCCACCGAACTCCACCACCCCTCGTGGCCAGAGGCCTAACTCTTAGGACAGCTGAAGGCATGGGAGCCATGGAGGAGCTGGGAGAACGGACTCCCAGCAGGATGAGGTCATACCCGCCACTGGGTGAACTCGCTGAGGGACTCAGGCCCATAGCGGACGTCCCTGACAGCAGACTTCACAAAATCCGCCTGGGCCTTCTCTGCCTCCTCCTCTGGGCTCACTGCAGCCTTGAACTTCTCCCAGTGAGCTGTGACCTGGAACAAGAGGAACCAGATTCAAGCCCAGGCCACCCCAGATCCCCTGGACCCTCCGTGGCGTCCCTGCCTCCAATCTTACGGCCACAGGAGTCTCCACTTCACCACCTCCAGAAAGCCTCCCTGAACCACAGCCTCAGAGGCAGTGTGTGCAAACCTCAGTGCGTGCACGCGCACGCACACACACACACGCGCTCGAGCAACAGCCCGGAAGAGGAGCGGGCCCAGAGTAGTTACTGTGAAAGTGTCCCGGCCTCCCTGGCCGGGCCCAGCCTGCACCCAGAGAGCATGACCTCTACGAACAAGAGGCCAAGCACCACAGCCAGGCTCAGAGAAACACGTCAGGCTAGGGGATAAGTGCCGCTCAGTGTCAGGGCAGAGAGCCCCCGGAACCCCCACTGAGGGTCTTCCAAACGTCCATTCGGTCGCTCGCTCCTCAAGGCCCCCAAGTGCTCCAGAGACCCGGGCCGGCCCCCTTACCCGGCTGGTCAGCTCCCGGTTTAGGTTCTCCACCTGAGAGGATGTGGAGGAAGCATCCTTGCCATTAACCTTCCGGAGCTTGGGCAGGAGAAAGGAGATTTTCAGGTTGTCACTGACCTGGGGGATGAGGGAGAGTGGCTCAATGTCACCCCAACTTGTGGCTCAGCCCCACAGAGTGCTGGCCCTGGGTCTGGGGCAGGTGCCCCCCCCCCCCCCCCCCCCCCGCAACTTACAGTCAGGAAGGGGTTGCCCTCCAGGCTGAGCTCCTCGAGCTGCGGGAACTGGCACAAGGCAGTAACGTCCCCCAGCTGGTTGTTGGCGCAGCGGAGGATGCGCAGGTGGGACAGGCCCAGGTTGGCGGGCAGTGTCTCCAGCTGGTTGTTGGAGAGGTCCAGCTCTTGCAGCTGTGTCAGGCGGCTCAGGAGCTTGGGGTCCAAGTGCTCTGAGAGCAGCTTCAGCCCGGACAAGCTGGGTGGGGGCAGACAGGGAGGGCTCAGGGGGGCGGGCAGGCCCTCACACCTGGGGCAGTCCTGGGTGCCTGCGAAGGCTCTTTCAGCAGAGGTTCTCCACAAGACACGCACAGCCTTTACTTTTTAAAATCTTGTAACTACTTTACTACTGCCTACAGGGGCTCCTCCGGAACGTTTTCCCCGATCCTCTGAGAGAGCTCCTCTGTGCTGCCCAGGGCCTCAGGAACTAGCTCAACAGGCTGCTCAATACCCTTTCTGCAGGACTGTCTCGCCCCCCCGCCCCCCAGCCCGGGCCCCTGCAAGGGAGAGGCCACTCGGGGCCCGGCCCGCCTATCTCATAACGGGCGCCCAGCGTTTGGTTCGAGTGATCCGAGGCTCCGCCTAACCAACAGGGCGATAAGGGCGCCGGGCAGGGAGTGGGTAAGGGTCCCAGCCTTACTTCCCGACGGGCCGGCGACCCAAGCCCGGGTAGCGGGCTGTGTGGCCGCGACCCCGCGGACCCCCGTCGTCCCCCCCGGCCCGCCTCTTACTCCAGGCTCCGGATCTTCCCCAGCCGGTCGCTCTTGGGACGCCCTCGCTGCATGAGCAGCCGCGCCGAGAGGGGGCCCATGGCGACCAGGCGCGGCCCGCGCTGGCCGGTTGGCGGCACCGGCGTCCGGCCGAGTCCGTGCTTCCTGGAGCCCGACGCTCCGCGGCCGGCGGAACTCTGGAGGCGGCGCCGCGCAAGCCAGTAGCTGGCGACGACCGGAAGGAAGCGAGCCCGCGGACCTCGTGCCCCGCGGGCGGACTACAACTCCCAGCTGCCCCCGCGGCTCCGCGCCTGCGCCCTGGTCGCCAGGACGCGGCGATGGCGGCTGCGGCGGTGGCGGCCCCCGAGGTCCTCCGGGAATGCGGCTGCAAGGGCATCCGGACCTGTCTGATCTGCGAGCGGCAGCGCGGAGGTGACCCGCCCTGGCAGCACCCCCCGCAGGTGAGGGCTGGGGGGAGGGGCCGTGCCACAGTTCCCTTCTTCATATGGGGAAACTGAGGCCCAGACTGGCTACGAAGACGGGCCCCGGATCAACCCGTGTCAGGGGCCCTCGCTCTGGGGGCGTTGCAGGATGAGATGAGCGCTTTGAGGGGTGGGCTTGGAGTGGATGCCATCCGACCACAACTCCCCTTTGAGCCTCAGGGAGAGTGTGACAGCAAGCCTCCACGTAGGGGTCCCCCCACCCCCCCAACCCCGCCTCTTGGGGCTACGAGCTTCACGGAGTGGGGAGACGACCCGGAAAGAGAAGAGAATGCCGAAAACCGGGCAGGGCAAAGTGCCCTAGACACCGTAGAGCAGAAGTGGTCAAGGAGGAAATTAATTCCAATTAATTAAGGAAAAAGGACTCAGAGCCTTTGGGGGGGGGCAAGGGCGTTTCCGCCGGAGGACTGCTTGGGTGCAGGCCTGGGGCAGGTGCGTGCGCTTGGGAGGAGCCTGACGCTTCAGGGGCCGTCGGCGCCGACCACAGAGGGCACTGTGTGTGGTGGCTGGGTAGGCTGGACTTGTCCTGAGGGCCACGAAGAGCCGCTCAGGGTTTTAAAGGAAGTTACGGGTGAGTTTTAGAAAGATCCCGGGAGGGGGAGAGGCAGATAGGAAGGTATGGAGTCTGGGAAGCCAGTGCAGAAACTCTCACGGCATCCCTGGTAAAAGTGGAAAACGATCTGGTGATTTCTGAGCAAACTAAAAGTAGAATTCCTGTGTGATCTAGCAGTTCTGGGTATATACCCAGAAGAATGGAAAGCAGGCCCTTGAAGAGATATTTGTACGCCCACGTTCCATAGTAGCTACAATGTGGAAGCAATTTAGATGTCCAGCAGTGGACGAGCGGGTAAACAAACGTGGCCTACTGGGTCCGATGAAATGTTATGTGCCTTAAAAAGGAAGGGCGTTTTGACACCTGCTGTGACAAGAATGGATCCTGAGGTCATTACGCTGAGTGAAATGTCAGTCACGAGAGGATAAATCTTGCAGGATTCCGCTTCCACGAGGCCCGGAGAGGAATCAAATTCATAGAGTCAGAAAGTAGAATGGTGGGTTCCTGGGGCTTGGGGAAAACAACGAAGAGTTGTTGTTTAGAGTCCAGAGTTTTAGAAAGGTGGGGACGGGTGCAGGACAATGTGACCGTATTTGACGTTGACCTGTTCACTTAAAGATGGTGATGATGGCAAATTTTACGTCCTATACGTTTTTGCCGCAAGTAAAACCTGAGATGTGCCAAAAGTCTGAACTCTGCTGTGCCCGTGGGTGTGGGCATAGCACCTGCCCGACTTGCTGGCTATGGGATGAGCAGAAGGTACAGGATGACTCCCTGATTTTAATGTGTTCCGTGGGAGGTGCCAGAAGACAGAGGACACGATGGTTCACAGGCGGGCTGGGCAGCAGTGGCCATGAAATGTAAAGGCGGCGAGGAAGCAGAATTAAGTGGACAGGGCGCACCTCAGACTGCCATGCAGCTGGGACAAAGTCATGGCCACCCCAGCTGGGAGCTCCGGAGCGGACTGACAGAATAGAGGAGTCCCGTGTCGGGTAGAAAAGGCCAGACCTGCGCTGAGTCATTGGCTGGGGGCTGCCTGGTACCAGGACGGCCCCTGCCCGAAACCTGAGGCAGCGGGAGGTGGTCAGCTGGGCACTTCTCGAGGATGACTGGCAAGTTCTCTCCTCTTTTGAAGGGAAATTCAGGCGGTGCCTCTGCAGCCACAGAGGAGGGCAGGGCCCAGAGTCACCCCCACTTCAGAGACTCCCCTCTGGCTGCCTAGCATGCTCGCCCTCTGGACAGCCCCGGGGTCCTCTCCTTTAGTCCTGCCCCCCCGCGGCCTGGGAGGCCAGAAGACACCCCACAGCAACACTAGCACAGCGTGGACTCGCAGGCAGCCCCCGGCTGTGCAGCCTCAGGCTAGTTCCTTAACTTTGCACCGCCCGGATCACCTCATCTTTAAAAGAGAGAACAGAGGGGCGCCTGGGTGGCTCAGATGGTTAAGCGTCTGCCTTTGGCTCAGGTCATGATCCCGGGGTCCTGGGATCGAGCCCTGCATCGGGCTCCCTGCTCCGCGGGAAGCCTGCTTCTCCCTCTCCCACTCCCCCTGCTTGTGTTCCCTCTCTCGCTGTCTCTCTCTCTGTCAAATAAATAAATAAAATCTTTAAAAAAATAAATAAAAGAGACAACAGAGAGTAGGTACGTGGACGCTCTTCCCACTTAAGATGAGGAAAGTGAGGAAGGACCGGGCACAGGGCCCTTCCCAGGAGGCAGGCCCAGGCGGGGAGGGGTTCTGCCTCCCTCTGGACTCCAGCTGCTTTCCAGAGTGGCTTCGGGGGCAGGCGAGCCAGCCCCTAGAAGGCACACACGCGGCGTGAGGCAGGGCGTCAGTGGCTCCAGGCCCCCCATCTTTCTTTTGCAGAAAACGCACCGTTTCATTTACTACTCTGACACTGGCTGGGCCGTGGGGGCCGAGGAGTCTGACTTTGAAGGCTGGGCCTTCCCCTTCCCTGGTGTGACGCTGATAGAGGATTTTGTGACCCGGGAGGAGGAAGCCGAGATGGTGCAGCTGATGGACCGGGAGCCTTGGAAGCTCTCCCAGTCTGGACGGAGGAAGCAGGTAGGCTCGGCCCCCAGCTGGGGAGGAGGGGAGGGCCGGGCTAGCCGGTCAGAGGGGAGTCACCCTGCCTGGCCCCTCCAGACTCCTTGCCCTGCGCCCCTTTGCTCACGTCCCTCCCAGTGCCTCTCTCAGCAGCCACAGCCCCCAGGGCCGTTAGGGAGGCGAGCTCCCCCGACCCTGGGACTTGGGCAGCCAGGGGAGTGGTGTGTGGTGTGTGGTGGAGGCCTGCCTGTGCCCTGGCCTGCGCCACTTCTCCACCAGACACACCAGACACGGTGAGGCGGGGCCATATGACACGCTGATGCTCAGCTCCGAGGGTTTCTAGAAGGCTGCCAGTCGTCTTCCCACCGAAGTCCTCTCCCCATCAGTTTCGAGGCACTCGGGCCCCCAAGTCCTGGACCTCTGCTTTGTCGGGGATCGCAGCCCCTCTTCCCTGCAGCACTGTCCACCATCGGCCGCCTTCTGTCCTTCCCTCCCCGCCAGCGACTTCAGTGCCTCGCTGGTCATTACAGCACTTCCTCTGGTGCTCCTTCTGCTAAACCCCAGCCCCAGTCAGTCCGGCTCCTCACGCTTCTCCGAGAAAGCCGTGCCCTTCTCTCCAAGGCCCCCACCCACTCCCCTCTGTCCTCGACGTCAGTTTTACCTCAACTGGAGCTTTCCCCCCAGACTGCCCGTAAGCCCCGCCTCTCACCTCTGCAGCCGGCTCCTCCGAAGAGTTGTTCATTCTGTCTCCAGTGCCTCTCCTCCCGCTTCGCGCATTCAGCTCCTGCTTCGCGCATTCACACACTGGCCATGTCCATCCTGGCGTCCGCACCCCTACCCAGCGGCCCCTGTCAGGGGCAGCCCTCGGGCCTCTCCGTTTCCAGACTCTCCCTTGCTGGTCTCCACGAGTCCCGGCTCTGACACCGTGCTTGCGTTTGCGACTCCCACGTTCATGGCTTCCCAGATCTGTCAGACCCTCACTGAGTCTTGGCCCACCCCGGCACCCCTGCGGTGTCCCCGTCTTGGCAGATTCCATCTTCCATCTGCCGGGCCGGAAACCATGCAGCTCTCCAGACTCCTCTCTCTCTCATTGGTCCTCCCTGCCTGCTTTCTTCCTTCAAAACATGCCCGGAATCTGAGAACACAGCACCCCGCACCCCCACTGCCCCACCTAGGTCCCAGCCCCCAGTTCTGCCGCTGGGGTTCCTTCTGGAGCTTCCTGTGGCCCCCACCCCTGTTCTGTCAGTTGGCCCTGGAGAGGACCCCTCCTCAGATGGACTCGCTGCTCTGCTAGGCCTCCCGTCCCAACCTTTGCTTCCCCTGCTGCTCTTCAGTGGCCCTGTGAGCCCTCTCTGCTCCCGAGACACTGCAGGTCCCACGCCCCTCTGTGCGCTGCACCCCCAGCCTCCTCCCTCTCCTGCCGCTGCCGGGGCTGGGGGGGGGGGGGGGGGGGTGGAGCAGCCACACTGAGGACATGCCGAAGCTGGAAGGAGAAAGACGTTTGCACCAGATAGTGCCACCCTCCATTGGGGGGGCCGAGGGGGCAGGAGTTGCTGGATGAATGCTTATCCCTTGGGCCACAAGTCTGAGGGCTATTCTGGGAGTCTCCCTAACGATTGTTTTTTTAGTTAGAATCCACATACCGTAAAATTCGCTCATTTAACATGTACAGTTTTGCTATATTGAGAACATGCGACCCTCTCCACTGCCTGCTTCTGGAACAGGCCCATCACCCCAAAGGGGACCTGTCCCCAGGAGCAGTCGCTCCCCATTCTCCCGTCCCCTGGCAACCACTAATCCACCTTCCATCTCTGGATTTGCCTGTTCCGGACATTTCACGTAAATGGGATTATAGAACATGTGGCCCTTCGTGTGGGCTTGTTCCCCTGACACAGCATTGTCAGTGCCGCATGGCATTTGTGGCCGGATGGTACTCCGTCGTACGGACCTGCCACTGCCGCTTCATCCATCTGTCCCATCACGGACACTAGCCTGTTCCCGCTTTTCGGCTGCTGTGCCCCGGTGCTGCTGTGAACACCTGCAGGCACGTGTCTGCATGGCCGTGTTTCCAGTCCTGGGCGTGTAGCCGGGAGCGGAACTTCTCCGTCACGGTTCTGAACCCCAGGGATCCCCAGCGCGCCGACCACGTGAGGAGGCTGCCTTGGGCTGGCCCTCCCTCCCTCCTGGCTCCTTCTTCCCACATCCCGACCCTGTCTCCCTTTCTCTCTGCGTTCAGGGGCACATGAGCGAAGACATCCCGCCCGCCCCAGCACATCATACCCCCTTTCCTGCTTTATTTCTTCTCTCGGCGTTTCCCAGCATCTGAGCGTTTGCTGTTTGTTGTTGGGGCCGGCCTCCTGCTGGAGAGCCAGATCCTGATCCAGAGTCAGGCGTTTTTGCTTGTCTTGGTCGCCACGATCAGATTCTTCACACCTGGCCTGTGATAGCCATTCTTATAAACTCAGACCCTTCTCCACTTCCCCTTTGTCCTCACCCTTCAGGACTACGGCCCCAAAGTCAACTTTCGGAAACAAAAGCTCAAGACCACTGGCTTCAGAGGCCTCCCCAGCTTCAGCCGGGAGGTGGTGCGGAGAATGGGGCTGTACCCCATCCTGGAGGACTTCCGGCCCGTGGAGCAGTGTAACCTGGACTACTGCCCTGAGCGGGGCTCGGCCATCGACCCCCACCTGGACGACGCCTGGCTGTGGGGGGAGCGGCTGGTGAGCCTCAACCTCCTGTCCCCGACTGTGCTGTCCATGTCCCGGGAGGCGCCCGGCAGCCTCCTGCTCTGTCTGGCCCCTTCCGGCTTCCCGGAGGCCTTGGTGGAAGGGGTGATGGCCCCCAGCAGGTCCGTCCTGTGCCAGGAGGTGGAGGTGGCCGTCCCCCTGCCCCGCCGCTCGCTGCTCGTGCTCACGGGAGCCGCGCGGCACCAGTGGAAGCACGCTGTCCACCGCAGACACATTGAGGCTCGCCGCGTCTGTGCCACCTTCAGGGAGCTGTCGGCCGAGTTCTGTCCCGGCGGGAGGCAGCAAGAACTGGGGCAGGAACTCCTGCAGATCTCTCTCTCCTTTCAAGGGAGACCTATGTGAGCCACCTCCCCGGGGACAGGCGCTGCTGCCACGCCTGGCCAGGGCGCCGGCTCCAGGCTTGACTGTTGCCAGCACTTGAGGCCGGGAAGCCCGGCACAGGGGGCTTTCTCCCCAGCTTGTTAGCTTTTAAGAGAAGACTGCTCAGCATCCTGACACGACAACAGTGTGGGCCCCGCCTGGGGGCCAGTTGTGATGGGAATGTGCTCAGGTCGGTCCTGTCTGGCCTGCCCCGTGGCCACCCGTGTGGCTGGCTTGTCACAGTTGGAGGGCAGTGGGATCATTTGAGCTTAAACATGTTGGTACCACCTAAAACCGTTTTCTCCTTTATCCCTTTCTCTTAATGAAGTTCCCTGATAACCCTATTCTCCAGTCCTTTCATTTGGGAAGCGAGTTGGAGAGCAGAATTGACAGAAGATTTGAAGTTATTATTTCAGCCTTCAGAGCTGGTGACCGTCTCTGCGTCAGGCTCTGCCTGGGTCAGGCTTGACCCCCAGGGGGTATGGGGGGCAGTGAGGACAGGGGAATCTCCGGAGAGTCTGGTGTCACCTCCCTCCCTGCCCCATGCTGTGAAAAAGTAGGGGGACTTCTGACACTAGTGCTGTATGGGGTGCTCACCTGGATGGCGGCCAGCCCTCTGCACATAAGACCAAATATGCTCACCAGCCACATGCTCAGCGCCAAACCTTTGAGCCAGGGCCCCATCAGAGCCCAGAAACGTTCATGGTCCGCACTGGTCTTCAGTCATTCTAGAACCTTCTGTGAGCTGTCAGGTTGTGGGGGGGCAGTCACTGGCGGTGCACCATGTGCTGTCTCTGAAGTGGCATCACTCTGGAGACCCATGGAGAGGCCGCTGGGTTTCTAGTGGCTGAATTGAGCCCAGCTGCACAGCAGGTGGCTCCGAGTCAGCTCACTTGGAGCAGGAGGGTGGAGGACGGCTTCCTTTCACGGTTGTGACCCTCACGGCCCCTGCTCTCGGTCCCTCCCTGGAGCTCCAGCCAGTCCTGTTGCATGTGAACAGCTTAGTGGGCTTGCAAGCCTGGTGGTCTGCTCCACGGGGGCCTGTGGGAGCCTCTGCCCTGACGGGCTGGGCCTTAGAGCATCCCTGTGTGTGGAGCCCACAGGATGCTCTGCTAACACGTCCATGTGGGAAACTCTGCACACCCAGACCTGTGGGGGAGAGCCACTCAGCAAAGAAGCCTGTTGCCCCCAGAATCACCCAGTGCTTGCCAGACATTTGACAGTGGGCCCTTCCTACAGCCCCGCAGAGTGCCCCTCGGGACACACTCCATGCCATGGTCCATACGGCCCCCGGAGCACACCTCGGGACATGCTGCATCACGGCCAAGTTGGTGACCCTAAGTTGGGTTTGTCCTTGCAGCTACAACATGAAGACCATCAGGTTCAGTGTGCCCACCTCTGCATCCACTGCTCGTGTCACCAACCGGGATGGAGCTGGGAGAGGGCCAGGCTGGGGGGCTCAGCCACTGACTGAGGGGTATGATGGCTGCTCAACCCAGCATTTGAGGTGGCCGTTACTGCTTTTGCATGCTCTGCGTCAACACCAGACGTACGCTGTGCGGACCGTTCTGTCCCGATGCTCTGGCGGCCTCCGACTACGACGAGTGATGGGTGTTACGGGAATGTACTAACACGGAAGCCTCCACTCTGAGGCTGGCTTCCTGCACCATCCTCTTAGAGTCAGGGAGAGCGCAGCCAATGGCCTGTCCTGCTTTGAAAGATGTTAAGGAAACTCAGGCCCATTTATTTGTTTGGACCTGGAGGCAGGGAGGCCCAGGCTGGTCCCAACAGGCAGGAGGATGTGGAGCTCAGTCTGAGAAGCATCCTCTGGATTATTCCTGTTGAGATGCATGTGGAACCTGTCTATACTGTGTCCCCCGTAACCATGGGGGGGGGGTGCGGCGCACACATCAGGGCTGGAAAGGGGTCAGCAGGTTCTAAATGGGCCTAGCAAGGAATCTCGGCTCAGTCCTGTGCCCCTCACCCTACGGCCCCCACCCAGGCTTCTGTGGACCCTACCTCTCCACCTTCTGGAGGCATGTGAGTCACGACTGAGGCTTCTGTGAGTTGGCTGCACTCACTGGGGGATGGTCCATGCAGTAGGCTTGCTGGACCTGGGCTTTGTGCAGAACTCAGCCCTCCTTTACACCCAGGGGCCTGGGAAGTCCTCCTCCCTGGCTGCAGAGGCAGGTGGGCCCCTGCTGGATTGGCAGAACTTGTCCACGTTTGCACACCTGACTCCTAGGAGCCTCTAGGTTGAAGTGCCTGCAAGTTAAAAATAATAGAAGGCAGACTATCCTTTCCTAGACAGGGGCCTCAGTGGGTCACAGTTACAAAACAATGTCTGGGAGCTTCTGGTGAGTGTCACTAGGATGTGGGAGGGATTCCCTGTCCTAACCCCAGAGCCACAGGTACCTGGGATGGAGAAGGCGCCACCGAAGGACCAGAGCTTCGGTGGCTCCTCACCTGGAGGGTATGGATGGGGACCTTCAAGCTGGCCCTGGTCAGATGGGCTCTGTTGGAGCTCAGCCACCCGCGGGGCTGTCCCTTGCTGTGTTTCTGGAAAGGGGGAGCCCCGCTGGGGAAGGGAAGGGAGGCAGCAGGCAGAGACGCCCAGTTCTCTTGGGGCCCCGCCTGGAGGGAGCCTCCCAGCATGTCTGGGTCTGAGCACTCTGCCTGCCCATTCCAGAGGAGTCACCCCCTCGCCTGGGAAGCCTGTTAAGACATGAGGCCCGTGACCAGCAATTCAGAAGAGGCAGGAGGGACTTCAGGAGAAGCAGTCTGCCCTCCGGGAGGCAGCAAACACCAGGGAAGCGCCAGGGGCTCCCGCCCGTCACCTCCGGCCACCCTGTCACCTCTGGCCACCGTGCTCCGCCAAGAGCAGAGAGGGCGCGCCACGGATTTACTTGTTTATTCAGTTCAATCCCGAGCAACTGTCTGAAAAACCCACACACAGAGGACAGGTGTTGCATTCACCATCTGTGATCTCCGGTGTCATGTACAATGGAGTTAATCAGTGCGCGACAGCCCTGATGCACTCAGACTCACGCCTCACAAGACTTTCCTAGAAGACACCAGAATACACTCTGCCCTTGCAGTTTCTAAAATAGAATCACTTGAGTTCTGCAACTTCTGGCCAGGTACTAAATGGAGACCGTGCTCCACTTTGGAAAGCGCCTCGGCGTATCTGCGGGCGCTCGGGTCGTGAGCACCGGGAAGGCCCTGCTCAGAGGAAACTAGAGCGAGCCCTTGCTGGCTCTGGGCAGCGGGTGCGGAGGCTCACCCAGAACGGCCGGGGCGCCAGGAACACTTCACAGCCAGGTTAAACCTCCAGAAACTGCCTTTCCAGTTGGGCAGCTGCCCTCCCCCTCCCCCACCCTCCCTGCTGAGTTGTGTCTGTAGCTCCAAATAGCAGCCACTCCTCCTTCTCCCCCAAAGCCCTGGGGCTGCCCTGAGACTCCCCACCGGACCACCCATCCCCAGACCCATGGTCCTCTCTGTTCCACAGAAATTCTGCTTGTCCCATGCCTCTGGGAGCTGGGAGAAGACTCTAGATGAAAGAGACCAAGAATTCTTCAATCAGCCTTAAGAACACGGGATGTGGTGTCTTTGCTACCCACGTGGCACTGTCACGAGTCACCCAGCGGCCAGTCCGAGGCGGAGCAGACATTAACAACTGGCCCCCTGCCGGCACTGGGGGGCGCTTTCCAGTCCAGGGGGGCTCGGCACGTCTGGCGCACTTGGGGCAGGGGCACCAGATGGCGTGGGGAAGTGAGGCCAGCACAGCCCCTCTCCGAAGCCTCAGGCGGGAGGAAGGGCCTGCTGTCCACTCCCAGCTGTGGGGAGGAGCCAGCCCGTCCCATCCCCGCCAGGACACGGAGTGGCCGTCTTTCAGTGACACTGACACAAAGCAAATACATACAAAGCCAGACAAGCCTTCTCGACAAGGCTCCAGGAGAGAAGAGACACGCACTAGACAGAGCAAGCAAGCAATGACAGCTCTGCAGAATGCCAGGACCGCACCCCCCGTGGAAGGCTCTCGTCTGGCTCCACGGAACCCGATGTCCAGGCTCCCATAATGTCCCGACTTACAACGGCGACTCCCGGCGCGCCTCCCAGACAGCCCCGCAGCATTTTGGTTGTGTGTTAAGGTTTCTGTCCTCAGTGCATCACATCCCCAGCAGCCACAGCTAGGCCAGCCAGGATTTCTCGGCACAGCCACCCCAGACCCAAGAGAGAAGGAAAGCTGTCCACAGAAATGCCATCAGAGCATGATGTCCAAGGACGGAAACGAGAAAGGCTCCTCTCTAGGCTGCCACTGGCCGATGTGGTAAACATGGGTTTTAAAAGCAGCTTGGGGTGTGGCATGCTTGCCCCTAAGCTGAGCCGTAGGATGTATGTACGTGGCTGTGGAAATGTGTGAGCTGGGCCCCTGCGTGTGGCCGAGAGGATTGGGGGTCTCGCCCTCCCGGCAGCTGCTACTCCGCAGGACTTGCATTTGGCCAGGTCAGGCCAACGGGCCTTGTCTGGACAGAAAGTCCCCCAGGCCGCGCCCTCCCACCTCCTGGGGTCACAGGCAGCAGGGAGACAGGAAGCACGCTCTGCTTTCTGGGCAAGTACCTTTGGCAGCCACAGCCTGGAGGGGCAGCCGACGTGGGCTCAGAGGCCATTTTGTAGCCCAAAGATCGAGGCCTCTGGACTGTGGGCCCTTTCCCCAACCTGGTGGCTTTGCTGTGTCAATGTGACCAGGGCTCCAGGATGGCTAGGAAGAGAGAACTTGAGCCCAGTGTGCCCCAGAGTACACCCTCACCCCCTCCATCTCACACGGGACGCCCACAGACGTGCCTCCCTAGCCCTGCCAGGCCTCCATCCTTGGAAGTCTTCCCCAGGGCCAGACCAGTCCGATGCCTGGCTGAGCACCCACCACGCCTGCTGAGCAGACCTGGGACCCCGGCTCCTGCCTCTCCCCCTTCAGCCTGGCCACCTAATCCCCCCAGGGCAGGGGAGGGAAGCACCAGGCCAAGCCGTGGGCCTGCACTCCATCTAGTCACAGAGGGTGGCACGCTGAGACCCACTTCGGGTGTCACAGGGCCATCAGTTCTCTGAAACCCTCAGCCCTCCCCTGCCGGCCTCTGCCCCCCCCCCACCCCGTCACTGAGACTGCCCGGGACGCCTGGGGGCTGCTCGAAGCCCCCTCTCCTGCTGCAGGAAATCCCCAGGCCCCAGGCTTTTTTTTTTGGTCTCAGCTCTTAGCAACAGAGTCTCTCTTTTTACTACAGATTTCCAATTTCTGTGGGAGGACCACCCAGCCAGGTTTTCCAGGGTGAAGACAGGGGGTAAGACTTTGGTCTCGAACCACATGGTAGTGTTGGGGCGGCCTCGGCGGTGGCCCACCTCCATGCTGTGCCCCAGGGCGGGGGGTGGGGGGAGGGGGCGCTGGCCTGGGCCCGGGACACCGCGCCCTCACACCACCTGCAGGCTGCGCTCATGCCCGTCCAGCTGCACCTTGAGCTTGTGCAGCTCCTCGATCTCGCGGTTGTGCCGCTCTGTTTTGTGGCGCACCAGGGAGCGGTAGAAGTGGATGGTGAAGACCACGAAGATGAGGCCCACAGGCACCATGATGATGGTGGACACGAGGGCGGCCTGCCAGCCCGTGTGGCCGCCGGGGCCGGGCGGGGGGCCGGGCTGGTGGCGCGCATCCACGGGCAGGAACTTGATCCAGCAGAGCAGCACCACCTCGGCCAGGAAGAGCAGGATGCCCAGCACGGTGGAGAAGCCCCAGGCCAGCTCGATGTAGGGGTGCATGCGCTCATGTGGCGATTCGCTGATGGAGTTGAGGTTGTGGATGTTGCTCACGGCCTCCACGTTGGGCAGGATGCACGTGCTGATGAGCAGGGCGAAGAGGTGCACGGCCACCAGCACCGTGGTGCAGGCGCTGAAGGCGATGAGCAGTGGTCGGGGGTACTGGTACTGCGTCTCCAGCTGCACCTCCACCATGGCCACCTGCGGGGCAGAGTGGGCGGGGCTGGGTCGGGGCGCCCCTGTCCTGGGCCTGTGCGCCCCTGTCCTGGGCCTGTGCAGGGCAGGGGGCACCCGCCTCACCATTCCCACACTTCAGCTTCTCCTATTTTCTGAGGAGCCAAAGAACATCTCACTGAGGAAGGATCTCGAAGGATTAAAGCACAGGGAGGGGAATGGAGGGCCTCACCCCCACCCCCACCCCGGGGGGCCTTCCCGGTGCTAACACAGGGGTTTCCTGGGGTGCCAGGCTTTGAGCCAGGACAGAGGCCACACTTCCCGGGAACCTGTGGGCTTGGCTTAAGCACCAAACAACTGCTGTTTTTCAAAAAAAAATTGAAAATGGGGTGCCTGGGTGGCTCAGTCAGTTAAGCGTCTGCCTTTGGCTCAGGTCATGATCCCAGGGTCCTGGGATCGAGCCCCGCATCGGGCTCCCTGCTCCGCGGGGGGCCTGCTTCTCCCTCTCCCACTCCCCCTGCTTGTGCTCTCTGTCAAATAAACAAAATCTATACCATACTTTAAAAAAATAAAAAACTAACCTTTCAAAGGGTAACGAGAGAAAAGTAGTACCGGGGGCTCCTGGCGGCCCCCAGACTCAGAGCCGCCCACCTGGGTCGGACAGCCTCACGCGGACCGCAGGGTGCATCTGGCAGAGGAGTCCAGATGCCCCAGGGAGAAGCCCGCATGGAACGGTGACAGGAATGAGGGCAGAGGTGAGGGGGGGCTGGGGGGGCTGGGCTGCACAGGCAGCTGAGTCATCACCCACAGTCACACAGAGACAAGGCCAATAGGTAAGGCCTGAAATGGATAAATCTAGAAACAGCAGTCTGGAGAAAGTTACTCAGAGCGGAGGGGCCTGCAGGCACTGCCGCTGGGCGGGGACCAGGGCTGCTTACCAGCCTCCGGGCGCTTCCTTCCTTCGTAAGCTGCGAGCATGTATTAACTTCGGCAGAAACTGTTTTTATTATTTTTTAACTAAAAACATCTTTTAACTCACGCCCCCTAGATCAAGAGTCACATGCTCTACTGAGCCAGCCAGGAGCCCCCCAAACTAGTTTTAAAATAAAAGAAAAAGGGGTGCCTCGGTGGCACAGTCGGTTAAGCATCTGACTCTTGGTTTTGGCTCAGGTGGTGATCTCAGGGTCCTGAGATAGAACCGCACATCCAGGCTCCACACTCAGGGGAGTCTGCTTGAGATTCTCCCTCTCCCTCCACTCTTCCCCCCAACGCGTGTGTGTGCGCGCGTTCTCTCACAAATAAATAAATCAATCTTCAAAAATAAATAAATAAGGGGCGCCTGGGTGGCTCAGTCATTGGGCGACTGCCTTCGGCTCAGGTCGTGATACCAGGGCCCTGGGATCGAGCCCCACGTCAGGCTCCCTGCTCAGTGGGAAGCCTGCTTCTCCCTCTCCCACTCCCCCTGCTTGTGTTCCTGCTCTCGCTGTGTCTCTCTGTGTCAAATAAATAAAATAAAATCTTAAAATCAGTAAATAAGTAAATAAATAAATAAATAAATAAATATCGATAGATCAATGGATGGATCTCCAGTGGGAACCCGAAGCCCCAGCCTATCTCTGTGGTAGTGAAGGTCTATAGCCAGCAAGGCAGGACCTGCTCAGCACAAGGCCTAAAGGGCATTCAAACTACAGACTAGGAAACATTCTCCTGCCTTACTTTCCCCAGGGCGGAACCCAGTCCACCAGAATGGCTCCCTCTGGTGTCCTGGCTCCCACCCCCTCCCCCAGGGGGCTGTTTAGTCCAGGCCCAGCAAGGACTCCGGGGCTCACCACCTTCTCCCAGGTACCCAGAGGTAAGAAACCAGACCAGTCAAGGAAAGGGGAGGGAAGGCAGAAAGAAGCCAGAGGAAGGCTTTTCCACCCACTGTGTGTGCTTCCTAGATCTAAGCCATCCCGTTTTTAAAATTTTACAAGAAAGATTTCACAACTTGTAGTAACTACCGCCTCCTAGAGTGAAAAATTCATCCTCTCAGCAGAGATGGAACATTCGGTAGGTAAAAAGAAGATACGGCAGTCCTGATGGACCACAGCTGAACAGAAACTCGGCAGTGATCATTGCTCCATACAGACAGTCGCCATACCGTACGAGTTGAGGGATGGTCTTTTCTCAGTGCTCCTGTGGCCTGGGCAGGTTCTTGTTACCACAAAGGACATGGTTCAACAAAAGGAGGTTGTAAACCACAGCGGGCGCTGAGGTAAGAAACAAACGTAAGTAAAAGGCCTACAGTAAGAAAGTTTTGTTCAGCCTTCAGGAGAGAAAGGGGCCAAAAGGCCATTTTTCAATGTGTTTATGCAAAGATTTTATGAAGGGGCCTCGGATCACTGGTTCTGTGTGTTTGCAGAAGGATAAATATGAAGAAACAGGCTCCAGGCTGGGCATAAGTCCTTGATGTTGGACAAAAAAACAGCTTTGCAATTCTAATTAGGGGATACCTAACATGAAGGGAGGGACTCCACCTAGCAAACTGCCTGTTTTCGTTTCCACTTAGCCCTGCCCCTCAGTCGGCCACGGTGTCCGCGTGGGTCTGCCTTCTCCGGCGCTGAGCCACTGTCTGATGAATCATGACCTGGTCTACCAGCAGCGGGTTACGCTGGTCAAGTGTGCACGCTGCTGTTGTCCCCACCCCTGCTCTCCGCGCCACACTCTTTCTACTGCTTTCCAGTGCTCCCCTGCCCCACCCCACCCCCATTTCGGCTGAATCTTTGGTGCGTATTAGGCTGTAACAGCCTCCCTGAGAGGAATCTTCTAGAAGGCAAGGCGAGGGCACTGTACGGCTGCTGAAATGTATCCCAGACTGTGTAAGGGAGCACGTGCAGGTAGCGGAGACACTCCGTCAATGCTGAAGAAAGGAATTCTTACTGGCAAGAGTGACCGCCATCGCCAAGCTAGGGACAGATGGCACCCTGTGGGGCACATCCGGGCTCTCCCATGCCTCTCTCTCTGTGGTCACTATTTTCATTCTATGACCGTTTCATGCCCCTGCGGGCTGCCCCTCGATCTCACGCTAGTCCTCCAGAAACCGCTCTATGTTTTATAACCTGATGAACAGGGCCCGTTTTCCAATTTTAAATGAGTAGTGTTGGAGGCTTCAATGTGGGTGAGCCCTTTTGTGGGCTGGGGAAAGAGTGAAGCTTCTCTAAGTCTGCAGATCCTAGTGTTTGGAAGGCCAGGGTCTAAACAGACACTGCAGACAGGAACTGACTTCTGAGACCCAGGCCCCCCCACACAAAGGAAACCGGCATACTGCACCAGGTCACACGATACTCCCCACGGTTTGTTTTCCAGAGTCACAAAAATAATAATAAGAGCAGGCCAGACAAACCTAATGCAATCCTGTAATTCCGTGGTGGAGAAAACAATCTCTCATTTTCATAGTGACATTTATACTTCTCATACATACCCTTCAAATTAAGCTTGAGAAAGCATTCTGTCTTTTGTGTGTGACAGAAACCACAAGAAGAAAATCACTATAAGCCAAGGTTGTGCCCCATATGATTGTACCCTTATGAAGTTATGTTAAAAATAAGTAAATCAATACACACAACACTGAACTAAACCTTTGCTTTAAACTACAGATCTAAACGCAAACTTACTGCCTCTAAGCTTGGTGACCTCCGTCACGCCCAGACTACGCAGGCTCTCGGTTTTCCAAGGGTGGCTTGTATCAACGAGCGAGCAAGCTCCTGCCACAGGACTGGCCACAGTGGCTCACTCTGACAACGCAAGCTCTGGGCTTTGGAAAAATAACAACTGTTTTTTACATTAAAGGAAAAAATTGGGGCGCCTGGGTGGCTCAGTCGGTTGGGCATCTGCCTTAGGCTCAGGTCATGATCCTGTGGTCCTGGGATTGAGCCCTACGTTGGGCTCCCTGCTCAGTGGGGAGCCTGCTTCTCCCTCTCCCTCTGCTTGTGCTGTGTCTCTCTCAAATAAATAAATAAATCTTAAAAAAAAGAAAAAAGAAAAAAAGTATTTCCACTCAAGAGGACCTCTGGGCATACAACAGAGAAAGAGGGGTGGTCACTCTGAATCCTGGCATCTTCACCCTTTGGGACAATTCCCTGAAGGGATGTGGGTCAGGGGCCTTGGAGTCAACAGGTGACATGGCCCTTCTCAGGGCATGTGGTTCTGCCCAAGACCAACTCTTATCCCGGGGAAGGACTCAGAGGAAAGCTGCAGCCTGCGTGGCAGCCAGGAGTCAGGCCAGAGGCTCTGCTACGTCACCAAGAGGCCACATCTGGGGAGAGGGGGGGCAATCTGCGTCTCAAGCTGGGTTAACCTGAGCAAACCCCAATCAATCCCAGTCCTGCTCAAATCCTTCAGATTTCCACTCTTGGGTGGTGCTCAGGATGAGGCAGACATGGAACTTTCCCCCCTGTACACTGAAGCTGTTTCAATTGCTCTTGACTTCCCTGCCAGGTAACTGCTTTGTGGGAATGTCAGAAGGGGGCTTTCTGGGACACCTGGGTGGCTCAGTCGTTAGGTGTCTGCCCTCGGCACGGGTCATGGTCCCAGGGTCCTGGGATCGAGTTCCACATTGGGCTCCTTGCTCAGCGGGGAGTCTGTTTCTCCCTCTGCCTCTCCCCCCTGCTCATTCTCTCTCTCTCAAATAAATAAATAAATAAAATCTTAAAAAAAAAAAAAAAAGAAGGGGGCTTTCTGTGGCCTCCGGGGCTTGGGGACTCCCCTGCATCCCCCAGACAAACCCTCCAGTTGGACGGAGCAGGCCCCTCAGAGGAGCTGAGACGTGGGGAGACTTCCTAAGGGTCTGTCCTGACCGCCAGTAGGGCCCAGAGGGAGCGCTTTGCTCCCTGAAGCGTCACAGGATCTCGACAGCAGAAGCCTGTTTTGCAGGCCGAGGGCCCCACCACGTGTCTACACTCACCATGGCGAAGCCTGAGAGGAGGGCAGAGGTCCGGCTGGAGGCCTTCAGCTTGGCTCTGCTCAGGTAGAGTTTCCTCCAGGACAGGGCCTGCACGGAGTGGTGGTTGGAGGTAACCAGCTCCAGGTAGCTGCGGCGGACCCAGTCTCGGTAATCCATGCCCTTGTGGCCCGGTTCAGAGCAGGCAGGAGTGGAGGGGTCCACAGGCACGTTGAGCTCGGCGCTCATGGTGGGAGCCAGGCTGGGGGCAGGAGAGAGACACTCTCAGGCATCCCAGAGGGTTCCCAAGACCTGGAAAAGCCAGAAGCCAGGCAAGTTAACCTTCTCTGGGACCTGCTGTACACCAGGTGTAGTGTTGAGTGTGGGGCCCCGATCCCTACACAGGATTGTGGGGACCCTCTGTTAGGGAGGAGGGTCAGGAGTGCATTTCCAGGAACCCCCCGCCACCATCACCGCCAGCATCCATTGTGCCTCCACAAAGCTAATGATCCAGCCTTCCATCCCTACATCAAAAAGGCTCCAAGCAAGTGTGGCTTGTTGGGTGAATGGAACTCTAAGGTTAGCCAAAAGCACCTAAGAAATCCTCCAATTTGTTCCTATTTTCAAGGAGTGGGGAGCTACAGCATGTATAAAGATCCTAGGACCTAGTCACTAAGCCTGGATTTGCTTCTAGAGTATGATCCTGAAGATGACATCTGAACTTTCTGACCCTGTGCATCTTCCAATGGGGACATTCCCTACCCTTACCCTTACAGGACTCGGAAACAAAATAACGGAACCGAAGACTCAAAACCGCTTTTCAGTGCCCAGGCGCCAACCATGAAAAAACACATTTCCAAGCTGGGGCTCATTTCTCAAATCCAACTTGAATTTTAATCGGCGCAGTTCACCTCCAGAAATACTTGGTTTCTGGAACTAAAGGAAAGCCACATCCAGGCTCTGATGGAAACCGTGAGCAAAAGGAAAAACTGAATCCACTGACATGAGCACCTTCCACAGAGCAACGGAGGCCAGACGTGTCTACAGTCCTCCCAGGTAGATATCTAGTTTGACAATAACACGGCATGAAGATCAGAAGGGCCAATCTGTCAAGATTTGTGAATTTAAACCCAAATCTCCACTAATCCAAATAGGGGATTGGCGGTCTCATGCGGCCCAAGGGGCCGGCCCATGCAGCAGCACGCCGGGCTCGGCTCTAATTAATCTGTAGGGCAGACTTCAAGGGCACAGGCACCTCACAGCTCACTTGGCATCAGATATTAACTTGTACGTTCAGGTCCGCATAGGCCCCACCGAAAGCCTACTTAAGGCTATTAAGAACAGATCAGTGTTCCTAGGTCCCAGGGAGCATGGCTGGGGGGGTGGGGGTGGGGGCTGTTTACCAGGGTCAGTGGCTGGGGGAATGTGCCAAATTGGATCTATCCACGTCCATCTCTAAAAGGGTTCTGTGGGAAGGTCCGGGAGGTGGGGAGGAGCTCTCTCTTTTGGGGTGCCTTCCTCCCTATTCTCTGCCAGCCTGCAGAAGTAAGTGTAGCTTTTACTGGCCAACAGGACCCTGGAGAACAGTTCTGTGCACTTCTATTTCTGCCAGGGGATACCAATTACTAGGTCATTTCTAGGAACGTCGACGTGAGAGCCGTGGTCACTCTGCCCCTTGCCCATGTCTGCAGCCAGCGGCGCTGCTTTTGAGCACTTCCATCACCAGGACGTCCCTTCCCGCGGGGAGAATCCAGAGAAACGCCGCTAACTAATCCATCAGTTAGCTCCAAATAATTGAGAATGGCATCATTTGAAAATTCACTTTTTCTCTTTTCTTCTCCCACGTGTCACAGAAGTGAGCCGACAGGTTGGAGGACAGCATATGGTCGTGTGGATGCGTGAAAGGCACAACCTTTGCCCCTCAGAGTATCCATCCTCTAAACTCCATCCAACAGATGCTTAGTGGGCTCCAAGGTCAGGCTGCATTTGGTACTTAGGCATCAAAGATCCTGTGAGTTCCTTCAAGGAACTCTACCCAGTGGGGAAGCAGCATTAGGGGGTGATTCTCACCCAGGAAGCTAACTGCTGCTTTAGTGGAGGGGGTGCAAGGGACAAGGGAGCAGAGGAGGGGCTAGGCTGCATCAGCCTCAGGGAGAAGGTCCCTATTGGGGAGCAAGAACATAAGTAGTGAAGGCAGCACTGGCAAAGAGGGGCCCTCCCTCAAAGACCAGATGGTGCCCGCATGGGAGGGTTCTGAGAGGCAAGGGGACATGGCAGGAAGGCTAGCTGCAGAAGGGGTCAGGGAAATGTGGGGGGAAGGCTGGATACGGGGGGTGTGTGGAACCGGAGGCAGCCCAGGAGGTAGGACTGTGCTGGACTCTGGAGGCGCCGGGCTGCAGGCACTCTGAAGGAACTAGTAAGGCGAGCAGCTTGGGGTCGGTCTGGTCCGGGTGCCCACTGAAACAGTTGGCTGACCGGGAGGGGCAGGAAGACCTGGGGGCCTCCAAAGGGGTACAGGCATGTGTGGGCTGAAGAAGGGGGAAGCCCAGGGGCCATCCATGGGCATGGGCTGGGCTTGAGTTGGAAAGTGGAGATGGAGGGCTTTGTGGGCAGTGAGGGCGGACAGTGGCCTCTGGGTAGTGCCCAGGCAGCCTCAGCCCTGCACATGTCCTCAGGGTGGCAGGGAGTGGAAGGAAGGGGGGCTGTGCATCTGCTTGGAGCCAGGTCTTGAGGCAGGCCTGTGGGTCCTGGAGATAGAGAGGCCACTTCCTGCTCAGGGAGCAGCCCTAACCGGATTCATATCCATCCTAACGGTCCCAGCCCCAATGTCCTACCTTGTGCCAGGCTTCCTCCCCCTACCCGGGGGAGAGGCAGAGTCTGGTCCTCACACTCCCGGATGGGGCAGGGGGTGGGGTGGGGCAAGATGGAACCAGACATTTGTCAGGTGGCAGAGGCTCCAAAAGGTGCTCTCCTGGCTAAACTTTGCAGGCGATTTTTGTTGTTTTTTTTTTTTTAAATATATAAGGGTTAGAGAAAAAAAATCTCTTGTTGAATAACGGTGACTCTCTAAAGATGAGCTATTCTCCTTGGCAGGCCTGTCTGATCCAGGGGGTAGGTTTGGGGTTTGCCTGTCTTAACTTCCCTTAAACATCTGGGGCATGAGCAATGGCGAGTCTGTTTCTGACTCGGTCTCTGTCACACCCGTGGCGGGTGGGGGGGCGCAGCCCCCATAGGGCTTTCCCAGAGGCGTCCACCTGCATCTCTGTCCCTTCCCCTAGGGAGGCTCAGGAGCCGGAGGACCCGCATTCGGCCCCCGTCCCCGACCTCCCTCCAGGCCTTCTCAGCGCCGCACCCCGCCCGAGGATCTTATGGGGTTGGGGCCACCCGGCCACCCTCCAACCCCGAAGCCACCCCATCCCAAGCCTGCCCAGGAGAAAGCCCATCCCCTCCCCCCGTCGAGTCTCCCGGTGCAATTCCAGTCGGTCCCCCAGCAGGGCGGGGTACCCCCCCCAGCACCCCGCCAACCCCCCACGGCGAGCACTCACCGAGCTGCTCTGCCTGCCCGCCCGGCTCCGCTCCGGCTCGGGCTTGCGGCAGGCGGCGTGGCTGTGTTGCCCTGTGGCCCCGTGGCCAGGCCTGGGCGCTGAGCACGGCCCCCTCCCTCCTTCCGTGCGTCCTGCAGGGTCCCCCCCAGCCCCGCCCCCGCCGGCTGCCCCGCCCCCGCGGGCTACCGCAGCCGCTGCCAAGGCAACGGCGCGCCGCCATCACGTGGTTGGCCCATGGGGGAGGGGGCGCCACGGGCCACGTGACTTGGCAGGCCGGGAGGGGAGAGGAGGGGAGAGGAGGGGAGAGGAGGGGAGAGGAGGGGAGAGGAGGGGAGGGAGGGGAGGGGAGGGAAAGGAAGGGGGGGGCCTCGCTGCCCCTCCTGGGGGACCCCGGCGGCGTGGACCTACTAGTCAGGACCACCCGGGCCGGAAGCCGGGGAGCGGAAACCGGCAAAAGGTGCGCATCTCTCCCGTTCCCCGGGGCGCCGTGGGCCACAGTGAACACGGGTCGGCTCGGCGGCGAAGGGGGCCGGAAGCCTGGGCATCCCTCGCTCTCACCACCCCCTTCCTTCTCCCTCAGCAGCGCTGGCGAACGATGCGGCTGCACTTTCTCTGGTCCCTGGGTCTGGACGACAGGTCCAGGGTAGGGTGAGCCCTGCTTGACCCGTGTGTGGGTCTCACTACCCAAAGAGAGCACAGAGTCCCCAGGGTGAGCCCCAAAGAATGCCCAGGCTTGGCCATGGGCCGTGTGGAGGGGTGGGGAGAGGCCAGGAGGGCACGCCCTGCGGGGAGAGGGAACAGGTATCCCCTTGCCGACAGGGCCGGCGGGGTGAGGTGGCTAGAGTGGGGAAAGGGGCACCGTTTGGGAAGGGTTCCGGCAGCCACACCCGTTTGCCAGGGTGGACCGCGGCGCTGCGCACAGCGCACAGGAACTGGTCAGGTGGTCGCCCAGACTGTAGCCGACCCCCGCCCCACCCGCCCCCAGGCCCAGCCAGACACAGGGGTTTCTAACCCGGGTGCAGCTCGCTTGGCCCCTGGTGGGCGTCCACCGAGCTGTTCTACTGAGCTATTCAAACAGGAACATTCTTTTCAGGAAGTGCATACAAATAATTAACTAAGAGGCGAGATACGTTCATATCAAGGCCCTGTGCCAAACGGGCCCTCACAGTCCTTCCTGCGTGCCCTACATAGGATTTTTCCATCTGTCACAACACTATCCGACAGTGACACATTTATCCAAATGAAAGAAAAATTCCACTCATGTCAACCAGTCCCAAGTTTTCTGACGACTGTAAGAAGAGAAGTGAACGGATGTCAGGCCAAATCCATTTTTTCTCTCAAGACGTATTTTAGAGGGCACTGCTGAGAGCTGGAATGACACGTTTTAAATTCAGGAAGACACTTAAAAACAGACCACAGCCTAGGAAAATCCCAGGGTCTGATTACTGACCCTCCACCCAACACACATGCACACACATTACAGATGGCTATAGGAAGGGATCATCTGAATTTCAGGGGGCAGAACCCTCAAAAACCAACAGCTCTTTGTAAAATGATCTGGAAAACAGGAAGAAGAAACACTTTGTAAACTAGAGTCATTGCATCATAGATGACCATTCTTTCCACAAGAGTCACTTGCTTAAATTTTCACCCTTGGAGTCTGACTGCACATCCTTTAGAAAGCCAGTGATGGTGCTCCCACCCCCTAGCACACCTACCCAGCATGCCCAGACAGAAGCAAAACCTGTCATCACCACCAGTGCTTTTCCGAGCCGGTTTCCTAACCAAACACAGAAAATGGCTTTCTCCCCGGCCCCTAGAAGATTAAGGAAGGTGCCAGCACCATGCTGAACAGATGCTGAACAGAGAGGAACAGTTAGAATACTAATAGTTGGAGGGCCCCTCAGGTGCACAGCTACCCAGAGGAGGAGGGTCAGGGCAAGGCCCGTGGGTGCCAGCCACGCAGCTGGCCCGTCCAGGGGAGAGTCGGGGCTGTGATTTTCCCGAGTAGTTTGGCCATGGCAAGTTGCTCCTTCTCCTCGGGTCTCAGCTTGAAAAAGACCAAGTCTCCGAGGCACATCCCAGGGGCTGATCACGTTCTGGTCTTCCCCATCCATGCACACCCTCATTCCGTGAGGACCGCGGCCCCTGCTTTCCTCTTCCCTGGGTCTTCTCACCCAGATGGCCGCTCGGCTGCTCTGGACAATGTATCCAGTCCCCTGACAGTTCTGTCTCCTTGGCTATTGACTCCCATGGCTAGGCCTTGTCACTACCCTTTAGATCTGAAGTTTGCACCTCCCACTTCCTGACCCTTTCTCAACCAGTTCTCAGCCTGTACCACCCTGCTTCCCAGCCTGTGCTGATACCAGCTCCCCGCCCCCCTCCCTTCCCACTCAGCCTGACCCCTTCTGACCTCTCCTGCTACCACCTTCCCCCACTGCTCGCCACACTTCCCCAAGAGAGCTGTCATCACAACTTCCTTCCCGGCGCTCTGCAGCCCACTGCCACTGTGATGCGAACTCCAGGACAGATTTCAGCCGTGCCTTCCTCCCTTCTAGAAACAACTCTCTCCTTGTTCTGGTGCCCTCACCTCTTTTTTTTTTTTTTTTTTAAAGATTTTATTTGACAGAGACACAGCGAGAGAGGGAACACAAGCAGGGGAAGTGGGGGAGGGAGAAGCAGGCCTCCTGCCGAGCAAGAAGCCCGATGCAGGGCTCGATCCCTGGACCCTGGGATCATGACCTGGGCTGAAGGCAGACGCTTAACAACTGAGCCACCCGGGCGCCCCGTTCTCACCTTTTTTTAACCTGTGCAGGCTCTCCCTCTGCTGTCTGTCCCCTAGATGTGGGTGTTTCCCCACTTCCCTCCTGATGGGTCCCACCCACTCCCCTTGTTTCAAGGAGTCTGTTGACTCCAAATGGTCACCTCCAGCCCAGATCACCTCCAGCCTGGCAGGGCCCGCCCCCACTCCCCCCCCCCCCCCAACGCTTACAGCTGAATTCCTCCTCTCCCCTCACCTGCCTGCCCTACCTCCTGGGTCACCTGTCTCAAGGAGTTCCACCAGCCACCCAGCTGGTGACATTACAGACCTGCTGTCATTTCTGATTCCTCCCGTCCCCATCCAGTCCTGTGAACTCTCCCGTTTCTCCCTGGTCCCACTGGTCTCACACTAATTCAGGCCCTCATCACCTCTGCTCTGCATTCCTGCAGGAGCCTTCCACCTGTCCCCTTCCCATCTAATCTCCACACTGCAAAGTGGAAAAATTCCTGTCTCTCCAGCCCCCTCCAACCCTTCAGTTATCCCTGTGGCCTTAGATCAACTCCAGTCCCCTTAACCTAGTGACTCAGGCCATGACAGGGCATCTACTTACTAATCTCGGCTTGCTTTCTTAAAACTGCTGTGAGTTACCTAGGAGCTCAGTTCAGCCCTGCCCGCATCCCGGAGACCTGGGTCACATGACGCCCTGTGGTACACGCCACCGCACTGACCTTTCTTCTCTTGTCTGTGTCTCTTTATCAGATCTGGAGATCCTTCAAGCCAAGGCCTGCATCTCGCTCACCATCATCCCCACTGCTGAGCCAAGTACACTTAGGAACCCTTCAGATTAAGCTTTTGGTCCTGTTCAACAAACATTTGCTATATTCTGTGGAATAAGAAAACTGAAAACTGCCTCAGGACCTGCCCCACAATGTTCTCTTTACAGAACTATATTAAAATATGGTAACTGTAGCTCACTGTAGTCAAGTATGTGCCAAACAGTAGACATAAATGAGCTTCCACAGGGGAGAAGGCGCACCTGTTTCCAGAAACACCGCCGAAGGAAATGCTGCTCTCTCCACTCTCCTTCCAGGCAGCCTGGAGACGGACTGAGTTATATTCCTATTTCCGAAAGTCAACAAAACGTTACTCATCTAACTCAACTGAATAACTGGCTTTTTCCAAAAGATACGTGTCGGAAAAAAAGAAAGGAAACTTGAAGTAGTAACAGTCCTCGACAGGTTCCAAACCAGTGTTTCTGAAGGTATGGAAGGGGGGACCTGCAGCAGAAGCTGCGGAGGCGGGGTGGGGGGGTGGTGTCTGAAATGCCTGAGCTGTGAGGAGTCGGCCTCCAGGCCGGGCCAGGCAGTCTGGATGTCTGAAGTGGACTCTGCTGTTGCCTGGGGCATCACATCTGCGTCTCCAGCACACACAACTGTGTGCACCTGCTCAGGCTCTTCCTGCCACAGAGGCCGTTTTTCAGGTATGAACAACTTCCCTGCTTGCTTTCAGGCACTGAGATTTGTTCAGTCACCTCACGGGACATCACTGAGCACCTGTGATGTCCCAGGCCCTGTGCTGGCACTAGAGGTACAGCAAAGAACTGGACAGGCAGGTCCTCGCTCTCCGGTTGTGCTCAGTTGAGTGGGGGATGTGAGGGCTGCTGGTGTGGCAGGGGGCTGCTGACCAGTAAACGAAGGATGGATGCTAGGAAGACAAGGCAACAGAACAGGGTGGGTGGAAAGCCGAGGCCTGACAGCACAGGAAGGAGCAGAGCAGGAGTGAGGGAAGTGGGGCACCGACCCAGGCTGAGGCGGAGGCTCCAAAGGGAAGCTGAAGCCACAAACTCAGAAGACAGCCACAAACTCAGAAGACAGCAGTCAGGGTGGTATTTAAAGCCACGGGTCAGATTAAGATCTCCTGGGGCCTGAGTGTTGACCATAAAAGGCAGTGCACTGGGTCACCCTAACATTTAGGATTTGAACAAAGAAGCAAGCCAGGGAAAGGCGGAAAGAAAGGCAGGAGGCAGTACTGTCAGGGTGCTAGAGGTTTTGGCTTCTAAATGATACAGATGCCCCCAGGGGCTGGATGTGGCAACACTGAAGGCTTTCAGTGGCATAATGGGGATGAAAACTTGGGAAAGGTGGAAGCAAACAGAGAACTCTCTGGAAGCTGGGCTGAGAAGGGAGGAGATAAATGGGGTGGTGGTCTGCAGGAGAGCCTGGAGCCGGGGCTTTGCTGTTGTTGCACATGGAGCTGCTTGCTGGTTGGTTGCCCTCCATTGTACCTGGAGGGCAAGCCGGGCCGGGGGATGAAGTGGGGCATGAGGACTCAGTCTGAATCTCTACTTTCCCTCTGCTCTGGGAGACGGTTA